CTGGCGCGTGGCCCCGGGCCCAGGGGCGTCCGCCTCCACCGCCACACCCCCGGTCAGGGCCTGCGGGCCTCGGGGACCAGCCTGTCTGGGCAGAGCAGGCGTGTCCGGGCCACAGGTCCGCTGCGGGCTGTCAGGCCTGCTGCGCTGCGTCCAGATCCGGGGTGCGGGATGTCGGGGGCTGCCTTTGCGTTCCTGTGTGTGCCCGTATGCTGTGTGGTGGCCTCAGGGCCCCTCTACTTTGGGGGGGGGGCCAGAAGATGGCCACGCCGCGCCCCTAGAAGCTGGGAGAGGGTCCTTGTGGGACCACGGCCGGCGGCAGGACCCGCGTGGGGCCCAGAGCCCGGCCCAGGCATCCTGGGCACCCCCAGCCCAGGGCTGGGCCGCCCGCCTGGAGCACAACGCCGCTGCCCCCTGGTGGCCACACTGGGCAACGCGACCGCCCCGCCTGCCCTGGCTGGACCGGACACCACACTCGGCGCTGGGGAACCACGTTTATTTCTGGAGCCGTGTTTGTCGTGGGGATATAAAAAAAAGTGGCACAGAACAAGGACCGCGCGAGACAGTGGGAGGGGAAGGGCCTGGGGAGGGACAGCGCGGGCACCGTGGGCAGGGCCACTGGGGTGGCCAGACAGGGCGCCAGGACTTGGGGCCTCCCGGGGCCAGCAGGCGGGGCTCTGGCCAGCTGTCCAGCTGCACCAGGGACCTGCAGTGGCCAGCCCCCCCCATGCGGGGAGGGGGGTCAGCTCATGCCGTGCCCTGAGGCCTCCAGAGGTCCCGCTGCCCTCACCGCCCTCTGCGGGCTACCTGCTGACCAGCTGCCGGTGGGGGCTGGGGCTCTGCCACCAGGTGCCCCTAGGAAGGGGCAGGCGGCACCCCCAACCAGGACTGTGCCCCAAGGGCGGTGTCCGTGGCCCTTCGGGTGGGGCAGCCGTCCTGCACGGAGCCGGCCCTGGGCCCCAGGCCCTCTGGTCTGGACGCTGGGAGCTGCGGCGGGAAGGGCCAGCAGCTGCCCCATGACCTGGCTGCGGGGCCGCAAGCCAGAGGGCACTGGGCAGTCTGTCCCACCTGGGTGGGCAGGCTGGGTGGCAGGGAGGGCCCAGGGCCAGACGGGGGAGGACAGGCAGGCCTCCTGCCTTGGGGGGACACTGGGGCACCCAGGGGACACCCGGCGGCCCGTGGGCGGGGGCGAGCCCGGCCCCGCCCCGCCCCGCCCCTGGGTCGTCGGCCACGCCCGCCCGGCAGGTCTGGAGGCCGTGGCCAGTCCTGCTGGCCCTCACCACGGCTCCGGTCACAGTGCTGGGTCTGGTCCGAGCCTCGGCAGCAGCTAGGACGCGTCTCCAAAGGAAGCTGCGGGGCGCGTGGGGGTGAGGGCGCCGC